TATAGAAGAAGCCTTATAATCTACAATCATCATGCAACAAACTGACAAAGAAACGACCATGATTGAGGATGCCAGGATGAGCAGTGCAATCACGCTCTTCTATGGAAAGTGGTAATTCTAACAACTAACTACACTACGCAACAGTTTTTAGACTCGGCTGTTTTAGACCGACCGTTAAGAGAGAGAAACCCACAGCCCACTCGCAAAGCAACACGTCACCATCGTCCTCTCAACGCGTCTTCAAACAGGAAACGGTGTGGTGGATCATCATTGTTTTGGTTCGGTGCAATTACATAATCCCATCTGTACCGGTTAGAAAGGATAGATTTTGCATTCTAGATACGAAGTTTGAATTTTTCCTGAGATCTTCTTTATGCCCGTGGGTTTGACGGTGAGTTGTGATTGGGGTTTGGTGGAAACGCGGTGGTGCAGCGCGTGCAAAAAGCTAAGGTGTGATCTAGCGGGAAGCGGATATTGATGTTGTAAGAGATTTCGTAGCTGAAATAGTAGCCAAGATTTAACTTACATGGATGTGTTTCTTCCATGAGGCTGACACGTGTCCAATGCTAGTTACGTTGATTTCTTCTGGGTCTCCACCTATGATGATATAGAAATAATAGAATGACATAAGCTTCTATAGCTGGTTTCGTTTTAGTGGGATGGAAGATATTTGGGAGAAGTTTTCATATTTAGGTAATAAGAAATTTAAAGGAAAGTAAGGGTTTTCTTTCTACTACGACTTTAAGATGGTGTTTGGTTAGCATGGATCTCATAAGACAACTTGGGAAAGTCGACAAAAATTAAGTTATAGCTTGATTCAAGAAGAAAAGAATTTAAAATCAAGAGCATTTAATTAATTATATATAATATAATTGTTTCTATGTGTCATATTATCTTTTCTAATAAAAAATATGAGAAGAAAATCTTCTTAAATAAAATAATTAATTATTTTTACAAAATTGATTATACTTAAATAATTAATTATGTTTAAAAATAACTAGTTGTTTGGGCAGCTTCTCAAACTTTTACTGTATAGATTTTCAATTGCTTCAACGCTTGAAATACTCCAAGATGATTCCTTGGAAAGACATTTCGACGCTCAAGTCAATAATCTTCTACTTTTAAAGTAAGAAGCTTTCTTGAAGAATAATTATATAGAAGGAAGTGTAGTGAAATTAATACCTTTACATGGAAATAGATGGGAGTATTTATAGCCTCCACTAATGACAAGATATGCTACGTGCAAGCACCCAATTAATCCAAGTGTCAACATCCACATGAGTGCATCCACGTTTGGATTCATCTCAATGTTTTTGTACTCGGCCCAATGGTTGACTCGTTTTGGCTATTGGGTCTGGTTCAACCGGTTGACTAAAAACCATTTTTTTTTTTTTTTTTACATTTTTACACTTGAGGCAAATGCAAATGCAAATCTGTTCTGTCAGTGGAAGAAGGAAAGGAAGGGTAGCGGTGAAGGGCTAAGATCCGGGGAGGCAGTTGTGGAGTTGCCGACAATTGAGATTGGGGAGGCAGTTGGTTGCCAGTGACTTCGCTGCTCTGTTTTCTTTCTGCTTGCTGGCTGCTTCTACACAGAGATGAAGGGCTTGCTTTTTTGTTTTGCTTCTACAGAGACAAAGGACTAGAAGCCGCAAACGGAGGCCACGAGTGAGCAGTAGGTTTGCGATTTTTTGCTGAGATCCGGGGAGGTAGTTATGGAGTCGCCGATGGCTGAAATTGGGGAGGCAGTTGGCTGTCGGTGACTTCGCTGCTCTGTTTTCTTTCTGCTTTCTGGCTGCTTCTGCACAGAGATGAAGGGGTTGCTTTTTGGTTTTGCTTCTATAGAGACAAAGGACTGGAAGCCACAGACGGAGGCCACGAGCGTGCAGTAGGTTCGCGATTTCTGGTTGAGATTGGGCAGGGAAAGGGCGGCGGTGGTGACTGGTGCGTGGTACTAGTGGTTTGGTGGTGTTGTTTTTCTCTTCCCCTACTCTCTTTTGTTTCAATTTCTCTTGGGTTTGCTTTTGCAAATTGCAGTGAAATAGCAAATAGGAAGACCTAATCCTTTGAGAGTTTTGTTTTTTTAATTGATGTGCGATTTTAATTTCTAATTAAAGTTAATGATGTGGGTAATTAACTAATTATATTAAAAATTAAATAAATTAACTTAATTAATATTAACTCATTAAAAAGTAAAAACTCAAATTCATTCAGCACGACGGGTTAGGCGGTTTCAGCTGGTTAGGCGGGCACCAACGGGCCAAAACGGGTTAAGGTACTGGCTCGGCCTGTTTTCAAGTTCGGGTCCAGTTCAATCGGTTTAATTGACTAGGCCGGGCCGGGCCAGGCCGGGTCCAAAAACACTGGTTCATCTTTCAAGGCTTGTATGTGTAAGTGGCTTATTGAGCTAAGCCCACTATGAGTGTTAGGCCTATTCCTAACATTACTCCCTCTTTAGTGTTCGGTTAACGAACTATGGTAATTACCATGGTAGCTTAACCACCACATGAAGGGGCCTAGTTTATGGACGAGCTCACCATGGCCATCAGCTTTTTAGCGCCTCGTGGGTTTTATGCCAACTCATCCTCAACCTTGACGAGCTGAGCTAGAATTGTGATGTCCTGAAGCAGGTGCGTGCATCCAATGATTTTTGTAAGATCTGGGCGAGCTGAAATGTGAGCAATGGCAGTTCAGCAGTGTGACTCTTCTCAAACAAGCCCATTCAGTAAAATTTTTACAATTCGAAAACCACTCTCTGAGGAGATACAACTTTCGAATGAGTACATCTTGGCCGAGCTCAACCAACAAAATTTTCAAAATTCAAACGAATTTTAGATGAGGTATGGATTATGAACGAGCTTATCGATGTAATTTTTTTCAAAATTCAAAACAAAACAAATCCCTAGAGAGATGTAGGTCATGAACGAGCTTATATAGAATGAGCTTATCCATGTAATTTTTCAAAATTCAAAACAAAACAAATCCCTAGGGAGATATGGTTTAGAGCAGTTGATATCCCTCTGCCCCCCATAATAAATGTTGGTTCAGTAATTGAAGAGACATGACAGCTAAAGCCAGCAGATATTATACATCCGCTCTAAATAGTTGCCATGTGTGAAAAGTTCATTGGCTATGTCAGAGATACGTGTTTGGGAATCGAGGGTGCATAAACTAATGAAGAAAAAGGAAATGGAAATGACCCTATTGTCACTTGGCTATTTTCTTTCTGTACTGTTCTCTACCATACTCCATAGCAAATGAATTCAAGTTTTGTAGCGAAGTCCAGAAATTCAGGTAAAAATGGAAATTTTTAGAGAATTTAGAAAGCTCTGGCGTAGCTAGGGGATGGAGGAGGAAGAAGGCGTTGTTTCTGTGGAACCTATTGCAATGATAATACCATTAGAACTCAAGGATTTGCCAGAAGCCATTACGCTAGAAAGTAGTGCCAGTTCAAGCATGTTTGAGGGGTTCGATAATCACCATTCTTCTTCTTCTTCTAAAAGTCTGTTTTCTGAAGCGACGCCTAATGACGATGGGGGCGTAAAGGCAAGAAATGGCACTCCAACCATGACAAGTATGGAAGAGAGTGTACCATTGATGGATGCGTGGGAAAATAAGCCTATCGTTGGGAAATTACACAATATTCGTAAGGCGTCGCAAGATTTATTGGCCAGATTCAGATTCAGGGTGGCACTCTATCATGACATGGTGGATAGTGCGACCATCGTAAAGGGATTTAAAAAATTAGGGGCAATGGTGAAATGATTTCAAATCCCTAGGATGATATTAGTTTGGGCTGGCATTAGGAATGAAAGGGCATGTTCAGTGTCAAGAATTGGTTGGATACCAGTGTACATCGCTTGTTTAGTGTAGGTTGAGTAGTAACCAAACGAGGTGGTACTACATTTCTAAGAGAGAGAAGATGATGTTTTTTACCAATGTAAAGAATAAGGTCGCCAGATGGAAGAGGTAGTTCATTTTTGTTTGTGACAAACAAACGAAAAAGGTGAATAACAAACTCATTGCCCACATCTCTGAGTGGCGAACAGCCCAGACTTATATGAACTGTCCCACACTAGTGCCAAGTGATGTGGATCTAAAGAACGCGTTGCTAGATTATGTTGAGGAAGAGGGATTGGTGGATCTGGAGGCCCTGGTTACCCCTAAGCAGTTAGCGGCATCTGGGTTTGTGGATATTGCAAACCTATATGCCAAAAGTATATTTCTTTTGCAAATTTCAATTTTTAACCGAGCTAAGTTTTTGTATTTATTTGTGTAGGAGAAATGAGTAGCATGTTGGAAAGGCAGCGTGAACAAGCATAGAGGTCTAGAGGTCGACAAGTAGAATCCAACTCGCATAGACAAACCTAGTTTGACGAGCGACCGGAACCACCATGGAACTTCTCTAAAAGAGAACGGGGTTACAGCTTGTCTATGAAAATGTATGCCAAGCAGTTCAACCTTCTCCCTTGGATTCACATTGGTGCCAAAGAAAAGAGGTGGATGCCAATGATGCCATGTCACCCTTTGTGCGATGCTGAACAAGTTCTAAGGCCCATTCAACCCCTATGCGTTTGTCTAAGGTGTTTCCAACTGCGTCAACTAATGGCATTGAAGCTTGGTCAACATAGATGTTAGTCTTGTGACCCAAGACTGCATACCTTAAGGGCTTTAGTTATATTAAAGCATAACTAAAGCTAATTGCCATTTAGCAATGTTATAAGGGATGCATAGCTTCGTGCCTTTTGTTGATAGGCAAAGGGCTAAGAATTATGTACAGGAGAATGGGGTGGGGTTGCAATGCTCCAGCTAATGGATGTAAGTGCTTCGATTGAATTTCTTTGCAAATTTTTAGTGTTAGCTTTTGATAATAACAATCATGGGTCAAATATTAAGCTTTCAGCTATGATGTGGCACTATTCTAGTGTGAACAAGCAACTTGGGGGCAGAAGTGCGAGTTGGCCGAGAATTGCAAATGCATGTCTGCAAAGAAGGCCAGCCTAAAGGATGAGGTTAATAACCTTTAGAGCTCAAAGATGGTTGGTAGAGTTGCTGTGGTTGAAAGCCGAGTAGATGGGCTGAACAACCAGATGCTTGAGCTTGAGCTGAGAGAAAAGCTTGAAAGAGCTTAGACAGAGAAAGAGAGTAACATCCTTGTCGCTAAAGAGAACACAAAGCAAGCTAAGGAACATGCAAAAAAAGCAGAGGTTGAATGGGATAATGCTCTGAATGAGCTGAATGCCCTAAAGTGATGCGTGGCTGTGGCCAATTAGGAACTTGTGCGTGCTTAGGAGGCTTTGAAGGACGCGAAAAGGTTGCATCGTTAATCTGCGGATATTGCCCGCACCAAGGGAGCTGAGTGGTTGCTTGAGTCAGATGCCGTTAAGGATGCTTTGGCCATTGCATCAATGAGTGCCATGATGCAACTATATGATGACATCTGTGGTAGGGTGCTACAACACCGACCTGATTTCCCTATAGGCCAGTTGATGTTCGTGGAGGGGGAAGATATTGATAAGCAAGGAAAAAGTTTGCTCCCTCTATTTGACACAATAGTTTGACAACAGTGGAACTTGAACAAGGATGGGGTACTTGTCTTCCCTTCGTCAATTCATGAGGAAGAGGAAGACATGGACTCCTTACCTAGTTTTAAGGCCTGGGTTGCTGGGATGCTCCATGTAGAAGCTGAGCCAATGACTATTCCTGAGGAAGCCTAGCCGACTTCTTCTTTTGGTCATGATGGAGCTGCAACACTAATGCCTTCAGTAGACCTAACAGATGACTAGAAAAGAAGGTATTTGGTGCCAATTTGTGTATTTTTTATTTTTGTTAGTTTTTGCTATTTGAATGAGCTCATATGTAATGTGGCAGTGCACATTAACCAATTATGAAATCAAAGAAAAGATTAACTTTTGAACATTTTGAGTGTTATTGATGTATGAATATATGATGCATTTTACATTATGAAACTAATAATAACCACTAGCTATAGTACTTCCTAAGGTTATGTGTACTCTAGGTAAATAGTAGTTGACGACCCTATGAATCTTGTAAGATATATGTCCCAGGTCGTTTCACGGCCACACCTTGTAAGGGCCTTCCCAGTTAGGTGTAAGTTTACCCGTGTACGAATAGGCATTAGTAAGCCTAACTTTGTGTAAAACTAGGTCACCAACTTGGAATTGATGAGCTTGAACTCTTTTGTTGTAAAACTTAGCTACACGACTTTGATAGGCCATGTTTCTTATCCTTGCGACCTCCATTGTTTCTTCAATGAAATCAACATTCTCTCGAAGCTATTGGTTGTTGTTGCATTCATTAAATGAGGCAAACCTCAAGCTCGGCAGGCCTACTTTGACTGGAATGACTGCTTTGGTTCCATAAGATAG